TAGTGGTTTTCAAACCACTGAAGTTGATCATGGTAACTTAAAGATTAACGGTACATAGAAGGTGCCCTAACAGATTTCTAACACAAAGGAATTATTATTTTTGTGGAAACACAAACCAAGGCAGGAGGACTGCTACAAGTTCTAAGACAATTCTGTCTATATAACAAGTTGCAAGGGCTACATCAGGTCCTGCTTTAAAACAACCAAAACAACAGAACTACCATCTAGATCCTTTTTGGTTTACCTCCTGGGAATTATTAGTATTCAGCCTGGTGTGGTCTCAAAGGCCTGTGATCTCAGCAATTGGGAGATAAAGGCAGAAAAATCAGGAGTTCCAAGGCCAACCTCAACCAAGTAGGGAGTTGAGGCTAGACCCAGTTTTGAAAGAAACAAAACAAATTGAACCTTTAGTAAAGAATTTCTGACCTGATGTCTAGTTCCTTCTGCTCAAAGACAAGGCGGGATGATCATTTGAAGTCCAGGATTTGCCTGGGCAACAGAGACACCAGTCTTAAACAAAAACTTACTAAGAGTTTTCTGCCTTCAGGCAGGTAACCAATCCCATCTTTCCAGATGCTTCAAATAACTGAGAAATATTAAGATGACTGTAACAACTATGAAACTAAGACTCAAGGCAGAATTAAGTTTTTAAATCTCCAAAATCTAGAAGCCTCGGCTTCTTTTATTTTCCTTTTTGAGACAGGGTCTCCCTGTAGCCCCAGCTGTCCTGGATTCACCATGGAGACCAAGCTGGCTTCGAACTCATAGAGAACCACCTGCCTCTGCCTCCTGAGTGCTGGGATTAAAGGTGTGTGCCACCACGCCCGGCTTGTTTCCTTTTTTAAAAAATATTATTTTTTAAATGTTTTATTTTTTTTATTTTATGTGTATTGAGTGTTATGCCTGCATATAGGCAAGTGCACCCATGTCGTGCAATGCCCACGGAGGACAGAAGAGGCTGTTGGATCCCCTGGAACTAGAGTTACGGACAGTTGTTAGTTGCCATGTGGGTGCTGGGATTCAAACTTGGGGCCCTCTGGAAGAACAGTCAGTGTTCTTAACTGCTAAGCCATCTCTCCAGCTCCAGATGGGCTGGATTTCAAGATCTGCCTGCCTCTGCCTCCCCCAGGGTTGAGATTAAAGGTCTGCACCAACACATCCCACCTCAGAAACCTTTAAAGAGTGTGAGAAGAAACACACATGGGAGGCAGAGAGTGAGTTCCAGGTCAGCCAGGGCTATGCTGGTGAGGACTCTAAAAGAAAAAAGGTTGACATTATAATGCGTGAGTGGGGGCCCAGGGTGATAGCACACAAGACTGAGACAGGAGGATCACAATTCAAGCCTAGGCTTTCTCAAAAATAACTAAAAACCAGAAAGTATCAAGAGAAAATACAAAATACTGTGCAGAACTGAATCCAGAGCAAGATTTGGGAGCTTTTGTCTCTCCCATTCCAATCTCCAGTTTTTACTTTGAAGCCAGAATGCTTTAGTCTTTCAAAAAAATCTTTTATTTTTATGTGTATGAGTGCTTTGCCTGCATGTACCAAGTATGCCAAGTGGGTGCAAAGCCCCAGAGGCCAGAAGAGGGTGTCGGATCCCCTGGAGTGGGTGCTGAGAATTGAACCCTGGAGCCATCTCTGCAGCCCCACTTGTTTTTGCAACAGGTCTTGCTATGTAGTACAGGGTGACCTTCAACTGGATGCGCTCTTGCTGCCTCAGCATTAGCTGGGATTGTAATTGTGTACCAAGCAATATTTAGCATCTTTGAAGTCTCATCTTTGGGTGCTATCATCCCAATAGGCCCCTAAGGGAGTGTACCTGTACATGGGAGGTTTTTGTTTTCCTTTCCAGTGCTGAGAATCAAACTCAGGACCTTGTACATATAACCACTGAACCACCACATTCCCTGCAAATGTTACCAATGGGTCACTTTTTCCCCTTCCTTATTTATGTGTATGTTTATCTGGCTGTGCAAATGTACATGGTGTGCAGGTGCCTGAGGTGGCCAGAATAGTGTCAGATTCCCTTTAACTGGAGTTTATAGGTGGTTGTGAGCTGCCTGACATAAGTGCTCAGAACTCAGGTTCTCTGGAAGAGTACCAAATGCTCTTATCGCTAGGCCTTCTCTCCAGCACTGTATTTTCAAGATTTATTTTTAGCAGGGTATGGTGTTACATGCCTTTTCTCTCAGCACTAGGGAAGCAGAGGCAGGTGGATCCCCATGAGTTCAAGGCCAGCCTGGTTTACATAGTGAATTCCAGGTTAGCTGGAGCTACAGGGAGAACCTGTCTCAAAAAATTATAGGCAGTCCTGAGATATGTGGGTGCTGGAACTGACCTCCTCTGGAAGACCAGCCAAGTTGAGTCTTAACCATTGAGCCATTTCTCTAGTCCCACTCCCCTTTTTAAGACAGGCTCTCACTATGTAGCTATGGCTGGCCTTGAACTTGCTATGCAGAACAGACCGGTCTCAAACTCACTGAGATCAGCCTGCCTCTTGAGTTCTGGGATTACAAGTGAGGGCTACCACCCTCAGCTTCCAGCCCCTTCCCTTTTGAGCAGTTTCCTTGTATAGCCCATGCTGGCCCTGAACTTGGGAGACAATCCTGCCTCAGCCTCCCAAGTGATGAGTTTGCAGACATGGCACTATGCCTAGTGCAAGACAGCTTTATGTAACTGCCTTTTGGGAGTTAGGCTCCTGAAAGATGGATACTTAAAACAGATACAGAGGGAGAAGACACCGAATCCTGTTTTAGCATGACTAGCATTTGGTGCTCAGAGCAGAAAAGCAGTTATGCAAACCTCAAATTTGCACATTTCCATGGTGATTCAGCTCCCTTTCAAGGTATTTGAAAACAAAGGAGTTTTTGAAACTGGCTTATTCTCACCTTCCTCTTGGGGGGCAGGAGTTGCTGAACAGTACCAAGAACTTTATCAAAACTCTTAACTTTGTGTGATAATCTTGTTCATCCCAGGGGTGGTGGAGGAGGAGAGTAATTGCTGCTGTGAACCCTTTTACACAAAAATGTATACCAGGGAGGGCTGGTGAGATGGTTGTGGGTAAAGGCAATTGCAGCAAAGCATGAGGGAGCAGTGTTTGATCCCTACCTCCAGGTCCCACAGGGTAGGAGAAAACTTTTCCACAAAGGTTGTCCTGGGGCCTAGAGATGGCTGAGCACTTAAGAGTACATGCTGCTTCCCCAGTGTTCAATTGCCTGCAACCCTGGTCAGATGGCTCACAATGGCCTAACTCCAGCACTCAATGCAAGTGCAGAAATCCAAACACAAAATAAAAATCCTAACTATGATCTTAGTGTATCTGAGTGTGAGTGTAGTTCAGTGATGAAGTATGTGCCTACTATACACAAAGTCCTGGGTTAATTCCCAGCACTGTAGGGGGAAAAAACGCTCCCAAGGAAGATAGGACTCAAAAGTTGAAGGGCCTGTAATCTCAGATAAGGTTTATCGCTGGAGGATCACCAGAGGAGGCAGGAACACACAAAAAAGTTAGGCTTAATTCCAGCACTGAGGAGGCAGAGATAGGTGGATCTCTGTGAGATTGAGGCCAGTTGACCTAAGCAGCAAGTTCAAAGCCAACTGAGGCTTCGGGGAGACCCTGCCTCAAAACAAAAATTCAAGGTCATGGAATACAAGAGACCTATTAATAATATAGCCAGGTTCAGTGGCATAAGGCTCTAATTCCAGCATTTGAGAAGCAGAGACTAAAGGATCAGAGTTTAAGATCATCCTCAGCTACATAGGGAGGTCCAGGCCAAGCGTGAGCTATTTTGAGACCCTGTCTCAGAAACAGAAATGCACACAATCAGCAAACCAATAGCAACCTCACCCACTACCTAACTAGACTCATGTGCACAGCAGTAATACATTTAACAACAGATTTATAATTTAAATTTCAGGTACTATTCCTTTGCTGTAAGGCAAACTGTCTTTTTGGCTTTTGCTTTTACTTCACCTACACATATTTGCTCAGCTGGTCAACTTCCCTAAAAGGCTTGTGTAAGAGGGGAAGGAGGAAAGTCAATCAGAAAAGACCCACACCACACCTTACTTTTGAAAAAAAAAAAAAGATTTATTTTTTTTTTCCTTGGGAAAAAACAAGAAGTTAGGGAAAATACATTTTACAACCCAATTTAACTTGCAGTTGGTCCTAACCCTTTCTAGAACAGTTGTCAATAAAACGCTGTTTTACCAGAATGAAGGTGTTCAACCGGAGATATGATGCTACAAGACTGCATGTTTTTCCCTGAGAGAAGTATAGGACAAACAGAATTTGCTGAGAGCCACCTTTCCAAGCAGCCCCTCCCTTTTCACTCTGGAGGATGTGACTACACTGTTCTGTTCAGCCAGTCAGCACTCAGACCCTGTGCCTCTTCTCCCTCTCAAGCAACCTCTCCCGGTCTCGACCTATCAACTAAGATCCTGTCTATATACTTCAGCAGTCATGCTTGGTGAGTTGGGAAGTCAGGTCCTACTAAACACTATACATTTCTGACTGGACACCTTTTAGTCACCTTAACATTTAGGATTAAAAACTACATAAAGTGCTTTTAGGTCCTCAGAGATAACATAAATAAATGATTTATGATAAAGAAAGATAAATAGGTAGATAGCAAGATGACCTTGTGGCTGAGGTGGGTAGGCAGGGCAATTCTTCCCCATTACATTCTTAGTCATTTTATTCATGCCTATTTTTATCTGCAGTCCACAGACTAAAGGTCACATTCCAAGGCTGAAGCTTTCAAATGACCCTAGCTCAAACAAAAGCTTTCTTCAGTTGAACAGTTGTTAAAAAAAAAAAAAAAACAAAAAAACTCTGAGGTTTAATAGGGCCCACCTTTCCTCTAAATTTAAGTGGGTATATTCAAATGCAAAGCAAACTAACACAGGATAAAGTAACAACTGAAAAAAAGAAACTCTCTGACCCCTATGACTATTACTGCCCTAGCACTCATGAAGGTGGAAGTTTTTTCACCCTGTAATATAAGAGGAAGGTCTGTTGGCTGCAGTAGGATGGGAGGGGAGATTACTTAGGTTCCCAGTTAGGGTGGTTCACAGTGCAGAAAACTAATGGTCAGTAAGAGTTCAGTGAAGGCAGAAAAATGTAGAAGCAGATTATAAATTATCTGTAGAGGGAATAGAGGGGGTATAACAAACAAGCAAACACTTCAAAGAAGGACAGGAAATAAAGGTTAAGTTCAATAGTTACAATCAACCAGGTGTGACATCCAGGGAGGCCAATACAAAAATCCAAAAACAAAGCTTGGGAATCATTAGTAGAAAAGAACAATACACATTTGTTTTATTGAGACCACTAGGCTTAAACTTGTGTTAAACAAGCAAACCCTGTAAATAGCACCATGGTTAAGAGTCTAGCCTGCTTTTTCAAGCCATTTTACAATTTATTAAGTAAACACTAGATCAAATATCTTTCATCTACCTGTGATCCTTAAATACTTACCAAGATCAAATTGGAAAATTAAGCCTGCATAGTTACTGAATCTGATCTGTTCCACATACACACAACTGGTTCTCTATATAGAACTGATTGTGACAAAGTCTAGAAAAGCCGTAAGAAATAGATTTCTAACTATAGAAGCTTGAAAAGGGTACGAAAAAGACGAAATTTGAGACTTCCATCTTTATATTCAAAGAAATAGTTTTTCTGTAAAAATATATACAATTTTTACAGACAAATACATTTACAAGTTGTTTCAGTCTTAAAAATTGAGGCTATTCAGTTTTATAACTAATTAGTGAACAAGTCAAGTATTTTTGGACATTAGAGGCTAATAAAACAGAATCACCAAAACCAAGCCAAAGTTGAACAGGTAGGTATAAAAGTCCTGAACACTTGGACTCCTGTCTTCACACACACCTGGGAGCTGATCAGAGAGAAAGCAGCCCTTCACATACTTGTACAGTACTGAGGCGTCTAGTCATAGTTTGGTTACTTACAAAATGGTAAGTCCATTTTGCACTGGTCACTCCCACTGTTAGTGCTCCTTACTACAGAAATTTAAAGAATTCTGTATTTATTGACTTCTATGACTAGCCTGACTCTACTGGCCACTCTTCTCGGTCTAGACAAATTCAATCTTCCACCCATTCACTTCCATTCAATCTATAAGCCCTCCTCCACAGCCTCCCAAAGTCTGCTGAGTGAACTCTGCTTCTTTCATAATAACTCTTCAAGAGGGAGCACTTTTCCCATGTATTTACTCTTGGTTAGCCATAATCCTGTAGCCACTTGCTTTCTGGCTATGTTGCTAGAGTGGAACTCCTGGATTGTTAAAGCTTGGGCAGCTTCCAGTCCAACTTCATAAATACATGTTTTCACAGAAGCATGAAGTTTTGGTGGCTGGAGTTGGGTAAAAGTCACCTATTGCACTTACAAGGCTATCTTATTAGATATGCCAAACCAGCCCCTACTCCAGCAACACCTGCAAAAGCCAGCAGCACATTTCTGATGCCGCCTTCTAGGTCCTGTACGTGGAAGAACTCCACAAACCCATCCTAGAAAACAAAAAAGAAAAGCACAATTTTCAAGTATGGGTTTCTGCTGTTGTAACACTACAGAAAAAAGATGAATTAAAATATCTAAAGTATCTCCCCGAATCATTTAAACCAATCATTATTCACTCCTGGGCTGCAAACAGACAATTTTCCGAGCTCTTCAATAACTGAACACTCACAACAGTTAATCTTGATTTACAGTAGTACCTACTAGTACCACAGACAACTGTATGGTACAGAAGAATTGAGTGTCCCCATTTAGTCAAAAGAGCAACCCTAACTATGCTTCATATCCCCACCATTTAATACTTCTGCACACGTTAGTGTTTCTCAAGGTTGAGTACACCTTGCACCACAGCTCTTTGGGTATCGAGGTTTAAAACGCAGGCTCCACCCCGTTATCTATTCGATTAAAAGGAGGGGCCCCTTGGGAACGAAATTTAGTTATCCTCACAGGTGACTCTTCTCCACGGTTTGAATCCACTGCTCTGCAGATTATCCAACTGAATTAGGAGAACCACCTACAGAATACAAGACCTTTTGGGTACAATTCAAGACCGTCATACCACTTTTTCTATGGGTCTACTACCTAAAAAAAAAATCAACATCATGCAACCAGAGATACATAAAAATGATCCTGGAAACTGCAAAGTGGTGTAAAAACCTTTAGCTATCTGCACCTTCACAAAATCCTTCGTTGTACTTCCACTCCAAGGTCCCCTTTACACCATAAAGCAAACTTACCCAGCCTTTTTGTTTGACTAGCCAGTCTCGTTTTGTCCTTACAAGAACATCTGTGATACTTTCTGCTAATGGGTCGATGCAACTTTCTTGGTTTATGCTCTTCAAGTGTTTGGCCACAAAGGCACCAAAAGAAATCAGAGTCACAATCCTGCCCCAGTTTGTTACGCCGTCACTGAAAACATGGACCATCACTCGAGACAAAGATTTGACATCATCTTCATTTTTAATGTCCAGTTTCCGAAGCATGCCTGAGAAGAAGAAAAGCGTGCAGGTCCTCAGGGCCTCCTTTGTCTAAACCCGGGCACGAATGGCCGCCCACCCACGGCGAGGGGCCCGTCCGACCCCACTGCAACGCTGACATCCCACCCTTTCCGGTCTCCGAACCGAGCTGTTTCCGAAAGGCTAGCGGGGGGAGGGGGGGGCGGAAGCGGAGACTCCCAGCCCGCGCACCCCGGCCCAGGGCTGGGCGTCCACGGCCGCGCCGCTTACCTTGGAAGGCCGTTTCGTGGTTGCGCTGCACACCGTCGCCCACTCGCCGAAGGGTCTCCAACGCCCTCCGGCCCGCCGCCCCCGCCCCGCCCAGAGGCTTCGCGTCCTTGGCGCCTGTGGCCTGCTCGCGCAGGTACCGGGAGATGATCGCCAGCGACTGGCGGTACAGCTCGTCGTCCTCCTCGACCGGCGGCGGCGTGGAGGGCAGCGAGCCGTCAGTGCCCGAGCTCTTCGCCGCCTCGCCGACCAGCCCCCGCAGGGGTAGCACGGCCGGCCGCTTCCCGAGCGGCTCGGGTTCGTAGCCGTCCAACTCCTCCTCAGGAGACATGATGGCGGCGGCCGGCGCGGCCATGTCCTCAGGCGGCGACGCACGACCCGCTGGGAAGAGCATCAGCTTCTCGGGGGTCGCGGTGACGTCGGGGACTTCGGCGCCAATGGGCGGCGGCCGCGCGACCCTCCGCGCGTCTGGCAGCAGGGCTGCAGGGCCGCTCACACTTCCGCCCGAGCCCGCGCCGGCCTCCCCTCCCCCCTCGCACCGTGCCTTGGCCTCCTCGGCCACCAGGCGCGCTCCCGCCGGAGAACTGCCGCCTGCCGCGAGGCTGGCGCCCCCGCAGTACAGGTTGAGGCCGATTACCGCGTTCCTTCTCAGGCCAAACATGGTCGGTCGCCAGAAAAATGGGGAAGGCCTGGACTCCAGACTCTAGGGAAGCGGAAGTCAGGAGTGAGAGAGCTTGTCCCAGAACGCCGTTTTAGGGCCGCTCTGACGCAAGTTGAAAAAAGAACGTTACCTTAAAAGGGTAGAGGGGCGGGAGCTTCCGGAGAACTGCGCACGGCCCCTACCGGTTAGGCGGGCCTGGACTTCCGGTCCCCCAGAGGGTCTACTGTTACATAACGATGGCTGCTAGCGCACTGGCTTCTCAACTCGTGGGCTCGTGGGCCGGGCGCGTGGGCCGGACGTTACACCCTGTGCACCTCGCGGACCTCCTGGCCGACTTGCTGCCTCAGAGTCAAGGTTTTCAAGAGTGCAGTGCTACTTGTGCCAGAGGTTTTTGGTTTTGTGCCAGATTTTTTTGTCTTTGTTTTGAAATAGGATCTCCTGGTAGCCCTGGAGGTCCTGGATCTCACTATGTAGCCCAGGCTGGCCTCGGGCACTGGGCATTCCTGCCCCAGCCTTACTCGTGCTACCATTACAAGCTTGAGCTACTCCCCTTTCCCTGTGCTACCATACCAGTCTTAACCTAGAAATCGAGTAAAGGGGATGGGGAAATTCTTTGGTAGCTGGGGAAGGGTTATAAGAATATGGGTAAATTAGAGCACACCGAAGAGGTCTATTATTTGCCTACTCTGAACCAAACAATGTTTAGAAATGGGGACTCTTCATGGACACTATAGAATCTTTTATGGGTGGCCTGTGGAAAGGGTCAGCTGGTAAAGGGCACCTGCCACCCATGCTTGAAGACCTGAGTTCGATACCTGGAATCCACCTAAAGGTGGAAGGAGAGAACTGACTCCATAAAATCGTCCTGATGCTACAAGAGCACACCCCCCTTCTCATTCCCTACATCACTAATAATTTTCAAAAGATTATTTATGGGGACTGGGGTTGCAGCTCGTTGGTAGAGTGCTTGCCTAGCATGCACAAATCCCTTGGCTTTATCCCCACCACTTCGTAATATACCGGGTTAGGTGGTGTACACCTTACTTCCAGCACTAGGGAGGTGGAGGCAGGAGAATCAGAAGTTAAAGGTCATTCTTGGTTACATAACAAGACAGCTGGCAGACTAAAAAAATTATGGTGGTTGGGGATATAGCTCAGTTGTAGAGTGTTTGCTTACCATTGAGGAAGCCCTGGGCATAAACAGGATGTGCCTCCAGAGGTGGAGGCAACCCTGTCTCAATATTGCAGTAAAGTAGCAGGCCAGGAATATGGCTTAGTTGGTAGAGTGCTTGCCTAGCATGCACAAAACCCAGGGTTCAATTCCCAGCTCCTTTTAAACCTGGCATAGTGACTGCATACCTTTAATCCTAGCACTTGGGAAGCACAAAAATTACAAATAAAAAAAAAGACATGCCAGGCATGGTGGAGCACACCTTTAATCCCAGCACTTGGGAGGCAGAGGCAAGTAGTTCTCTGAGTTCGAGGCCAGCCTGGACTGCATAGTGAGTTCCAGGCCAGCTAGGGCTACAGGGAGACCCTGTTTCAAAAAATAAATAAAAAGACCGAGGACTCATTTTTATCCCTGGAACCCACACAGTGGAAAGAGTGAACTGACTCCTGAAAGTTACCCTCTGACTTCCACCCAGGTACTGTGGCACACAATAAATACATAAAATTTTAAAGATGGGGCTGGAGAGATTGCTCAGCGGGTAAGAGCACTGGCTGCTCTTTCAGAAGACCTGGGTTCAAATCCCAGCACCCACATGGCAGCTAACAACCATCTAGTTCCAGGGAATCTGATGCCCTCTTCTGACCTCTTCGAGCATTGCATGACACAGGTGCACTTATACATGCAGGCAATATACACATAAAATAATAAATAATAAAATTTTCAAAAATTAAAGATCAGCTTAACAAGAAGATGGGGAGCCCAGCTGTTTGGGGGAAAGGATCTAGAATCACCATTTTACAATGTGGTAGGGAAGATGGAGAGAAGAATTTTGTTGTTAGTGACTCTGGAATTTTTCTGTAAGTAAACTCAATTATGCATGACAACCAACCATAATATGAGATGGAGTATATATATATTCAGTGAGGCATCAACAACTTAATATTGGAATTGAGATAACTTCATTTGGGGTAGATGACCTGGAAGAAGGCTTTATGAAAGACCTGGCCTTTCCCAGATTGGCCTCCAAGTGGAGTCAGTCCTCCTGCCTCAGCCTCCTGTATTGTGGGAGTATAGGCATGGCATAAGCCACCATGCTTAGCGTGACCTTTTTTTTTTTTAGTTTTATTATTTTTATGTGTATGAGTATATTGTCTCCATGTGTGCAACTGCACCCGTCGTGCAGTGCCCATGGTTACAAAAGGGCATCGGATCTCCTGCGACTGGAGTTAAGGACTGTTGTTAGCTGCCATGTGGGTGCTGGGAATCTAACCTGGGTCCTCTGCAAGAGCAACCAGGGCTCCTAAACACTGAGCCATCTCTCTAGCCCCATCCTGACCTTTTTAAAAGGTCATTTGTGGGGAGGGGTTGAGACAGGGTCTCCCTGTAGCCCCAGCTGGCCTGGAACTTACTATGTAGACAGGCTGGCCTAGGTTTCACAAAGATCCACCAGCCTATGCCTCCTGAGTGCTGGAACTAAATGCATGTGCCACCACACCCAATCCCCTTTTTTAAAAGTTTTTTGAGGCAGGGTCACATGTAGTCTAGGCTGGCCTACAACTTGCTCTGTAGCTGAGGATGGCTTTGAGTTGATTCTCCGGCCTATTCCTCCCAAATGCTGAGATCACACAGCTGTACTACTGGTCTGAACTGGCATGAACTTTTGTAGGCGGTTGGGAACCACTGACACTAAATACCATAGTGTATGCTCTCCTTCAGTTCCATTACTCTAATTTGGGCATTAGAATGCATTGACAGAGGGATTGGAGGCCAGGGAATAAATGAGAAATCCACTGCAATGCAGTAGCCAACCATGAGCTGGCTGTGGTGGTCCCAGCATTCTGTCATTTTGGTTGTGAGCCTGAGCCTTTAATAGCTGAGCCATCTCTCCAGCCATAATCCCAGCACTATTAAGACATGAACACAGGGCTGTAAATCCAAGGCCAGACTAGCTACACAGTAAGACTCTTGTTTCTCAGAAACAAAAAACAAAGCAAAACAAATGCTGGTGTTGGGAGTGGTGACTCAGGCCTGTAATACCAGCATTTGGGAGGTAGAGGCAGGAGGAGTAGGAGCCTAAGGTTTGAGGCCAGCCTGGATTAGATAAGATCCTGTCTTAAAATACCTCCCCCCAAAAAAGAATGAGAAATAATGGTGATCTGATGGTGTGGTAGAAGTGGAAAGATACATTTTAAACACTGGAGCCAGAAAGATGGCCCAGGGAGTAAAAGTACTTGCCACCAAGCCCCAAGGACCTGAGTTTGAGCCCCAAGATCCACATAGTAGAAAGAAGGAGAGAACACAAATAAATAAATGTAAAAAATTTTTTAAAGGTACCTGTATTACATAGATCAGAGGTACCTTTCAGATTCCTAGAAACCACAGCTGTCTCCAGTAGGAGAGTTTGTACAACATGGAGGCAAGGAAATTTTAGTATGATCTTTTGGGAAGTCCTGTTCTTGGGATTTCTGTGTGTAGGTGGAGGGGGTGCACATGCCCTGGCTCCTCCCATCTGGAGGTTAGAGAACAAATTATGGAAGTTGGTTCTCTCCCACCAGGTAGTTTTCAGGAATAGAAATGAGTCCTCAGTCCTTTTAATGATGGATAAAAAAACAGAAATAAACAAGGTATAGTGGTATTTGCCTGTGATTCCAGCACTGGGGAGGTTGAAGCAGGAAGATCAAGAGTTCAAGGCCAGCCTGGGCTACATAAAGGATCTTGTCTTAAAAAAAATCATTTAAAGGCTACTTATATCAAGTGTTAACAAAAACAGAAGTATAGGGAAGTTCCTGGATATTTTTTGTGCAGTCGTGGGGATTGAACCCAGGACCTCAGCATCTTAGGCAAGTACTCTACTGCTGAGCTATAGTTTCAGGTCTCTTTTTACTTTACTTTGAGATAGGACTTCACTAAGTTGTCTAGGCTGGTCTTCAACTTCTGCCTCAGCCTCTGGAGTAGTTGGGATTACAGGCCTGTGTCACCAGGACTGGCTTGTAAAGTATCATATTAAGATTGGTGGAATATAATTCACTTTAGGGCAATTTCAAGTATGTATTGCAATTTTAAATATATAGCCAGGCATAGTGGTGCACACTGTAAGTCTAGCACATGGGAGGTGAAGGTGAAAGATCAGGCAATCAAAGTCATCCTCAGCTACTTAGCAAATTCAAAGTCAGCCTGGGCTACATGAGACACTATCTCAAAAAAATTTTTTTAAGTATATATACTCTGACCCAGCAATGAATCTTTCAATGTTTAGAGGCAATAAAGACTTCACTGAAACATAATAGCAAAACAAACATAATGGCTAAACTGACACTCCTGTACTATGGGACATTATGTAACAATGATAAAGCCAAATAGCTTTGTATGTAGTAATATGCAGAGTTCTCTGAACATGCTAAGTGTAAAAAGATGTAGACTAATAAAAACCATGCAATACTATATACACTTCTGTATACACCTAGATATCTACCCATGGAAATCCATAGAAAAATATTTGGAAGAATACATAACAAAAATGAAACCCTGTTTATCCCTGAAAGAGAAGCAGCAAAGACAACTTTGACCTTGTCTGTCTGCAGTTGGTTTGGGGACACTGGAAGTTGAAGTCAATGCCTTGTCAGGTGCAAAGCAATCGCCCATCTTCAGCTATGGTATTTTTGTTTTTTGCTTGTCTTTGTTGTATGTCTCTTGGTTTTGGGTTTTGAGGTTTTGTGTGTGTGTCGTACTAAGGATTGAACCTAGGGCTTCTCATATGCAAGGCAAGCACTCTACCACTGAATTATATCCCTAACTTTGTTTTTTTTTTTTTTTTTTTCTGAGACAGGGTCTCATTCTGCAGTCCTGGCTAGCCTGGAAATCACCATATAGCCCAGGCTGGCCTTGACCTCTCAGTGATCCTTCCTTAGTCTCCCAAATGCTGGAATAATAGGTATGAGTCACCACTCCTAGTTCAGCTGTAGGTTTTTGTTTTGTTTTGTTTGTCTTTTTGAGACAGGGTCTCCCTGTAGCCTCAGCTAGCCTGGAACTCACTATGTAGACCAGGCTGGCCTTGATCTTGCCAACAGCTGCCTGCCTCTGCCTCCCTAGTGCTGAGATTAAAGATGTGAGCCACCACACCCAGCTAGTTATAGTTTTTGAATGAAGTTTTTTTTTTGGGTAGGGATTTTTTGAGACAGGGTCTTCCTAATAGCCCCTGCTGGCCTGGAACTTGCTACATAGATCAAACTGTCCATAATCTCACCTGCCTCTACCTTGAAGTTTAATTTTGTTGTGACCTGGCTCTGCAAAATTTCTTTCATTCACAGAGGTTTTCCCCTTCAGACCTGGATGAAAACGCTAACATAGCCACTCTAACTTTTCTTTCCTGAGACAGGGTCTCATGCAGGCTGGCACTGAACTCCCTCTCTGGTCAAGGATGGCTGAGAACTTTCTGAGGATGATCTTGAACTTCCTGATTGTCCAGGGCTTCATGCGTGCTAGGTAAGCACTCTACCAACTGAGCTACATCCCTTTGATTTTTGTTGCTAGTCAGCCTTTGCCTTGATTTTCCCATACCATTAATCTTATATAAAGTCCAAGGATGACCCTCTACCTAGTGACAAAGCCCTACCTATTGAAGAGCTAAGTCTCTCCCTAGACTTAAGGAGAGGGAATTACTCTATACCTCTCTTCCTAGAGCTTGGATGGAGCTTACAGCATGCTAGATGTTCTTGTTCTCTGAAGAAAGCTTGTGTGTATATGTGTGTGAGCTAGAGACGGAATCCAGGACACTGTTAGGCAAGAACTCTACCACTAAACTTACACAAAAGCTTTCTTCTTTTATTCAGGTAGGATCTTGCCATTGTATAGTTCAGGCTGGCCTTGAATTTTAGTGTACTGTCCCAGCTTCCCAAGAGCTAGGAGTACTAGCATGTATCACATGACCATCTAAGGGAGCTATTTTGTAAACCAGGGCTTGGTGGCTCCTATCTAAAATCCCAACACTCAGGAGACTGAGGCAAGAAGATTTTGCTGCAAGTTCAAGGCCAGCCTGGGTTATATAGTGAGTTCCATGTTAGCCTGGACAATAATGTGAGATGCCGTTTCAGAAAAAAAGTACTCTTACTTAATTTTTTTCTGTATGAGTGTTTTCTCGAATATAAGTATGTGCAGTGTGTGTGTGCTAGAGCCCAGAAAAGTCAGAAGAGGGCATCAGATCCCCTGGAATTGGAGTTACAAATGGTTGTGAGCTGCCATGTGGGTGCTGGGAACTGAACCTAGGTCCTCTGCAAGAGCAGGCAGTGCTCTTAACTGCTGAGTCATTTTCTTTTTTATTCTTTAAATGTATGAAAGGGCTCAAGAGTTATGGAATTGGTCCTCAATAATTTCTTTAAAAGTTTGCATTGATGTTTAGCTTGGTGGTGCATGCCTTTAATCCCAGCACTCAGAAGGCAGAGTCAGGTAGATCTCTGTGAGAGTGAGGCCAGCCTGGTCTACATATGGAGTCCAGGCCAGCTGGGGCTAAAGGGAGACCCTGACTCAAAAATCCAAAATTTTGGTAATTTAAAAAAATATTTTTATTTTATGTGTGAGTGTTTTGCCTGCATATATATAAGTGTACACCATGTGTGTGCAATGCCCACGGAGGCCAGAAGAGGGCATTGAATCCCCTGAAACTGGAGTTACAGATCACTGTTAGCCTCATGTGGGTGCTGGGAACCAAACCCTGGTCTTCTGCAAGGGCAGCCAGTGCTCTTAACCAACTGAGCCATCTCTTCAGCTCCCATTTAAAAAAAAATGTTTTTTTTGAGTCTCCCTATAGCCCAAGCTGGCCTAGAACTCACTATGTAGACCAGGCTGGCCTCGAACTCACAAAGATTTGCCTGTCTCTGCCTCCCCAGTGCTGGGATTAAAGGTGTGCACCATCATACCTGGCCCATTTTAAAATTTTAAAAAGAGTACTTCATATTTATTTCTGTATCGAGGAGGTATATACACAGAGGACAACTTGTGGGAGTCGGTCTTTCTTGGGTGGTTTGGCTTGGCAGCAAGTGCTGTTACTGTTACTTGCTGAGCTATCTTATTGGGCCCTGTTTAAAATTTTAAATGTAAAGCATAATCTCCTTTATATCCTTCTCTGTTCCTTATCTGGAGTACATGTGATTTAGTCATACCTCACAGGCCTTCAAATTGAAGAAGAGAAAATCTTACCTACTTCTAGGGATGGAATTGCCCTCCCTTTTCCTGAGATTAGAATGTATAAGGATTGGCCTGGGGATGTAGCTCACCTGGTAAAGTGCTTTCCTAGTATCATGAAGTCCTGGTGGCACATGCCTATAATCCCAGCACTGGGAGGGAGAGTCAGGAGGATCAGAAGTTCAAGGTCATCCTTAGCTGCATATCCAGTCTGTGACTAGCTTTGGCTACATGAGACCTTTAAAAAAAGAAGAAAAAAGGAAGGAAGATTGGAAAGACAGCCAGAAGGAGGGGACAGTGGCAGCCTGATATGCTAGGTAGCCAGTGTCTTGAACAGGGGTTTCCACAGTGCTGGAAGATAACAGCAAAAACTAAAGGCCCAGAAGAATTTTGCTTCCTTTACCATTTTAGCCAGGCAAATGTAACTTCAAATCTTTTTTTTTTTTTTTTTTTTTGGAGACACAGGATATCCTGTAGCCTAAGCTGGCCTCAAATTCACTATGTAGCAGAGAATGACTTTGAACTTCTTTTTTAAATTATTGCATTTTATTTTGGGGGGTGAGGGTATAGGGGTGGGGGTGTACCACTGCATACATGTGGAGAACAGAGGGTAACTTACAGGAGTCAGTCTCTCCTTCCACCAAGTGAATCCTGAGGCTCCAACTCAAGTCCTCAGCTACTGCCTACTAAGCCGTCTTCCTTGTCTGGCCGTGAACTCCTGATTTTCCTGCCTCCACCTCAGAGGGCTGGGATTACAGGCATGAGCCACCACACTCACTTAATTTTTTAAAAATTATCATGCAAGTAATGGGTTTCATTATGACACTTTCATATTTTTTGTCATTATACTTTATTATTCATCCCATTTCCCCCTTCCCCAATGATTCTGTTTTTAAACTATGACTTCCTGAGGCAAAGGAGGTGGTTAGAACAGTGCTGGTGGGTGGAAACTGGCATCCAAGGGCAGGAGTGTGAAGCATAAACATGTGAGAAGAGACAGGGAAATAGCAAGTTAAGAGGAAACACTGTAGGTCCAAGGAAGAACTGCCACTCACTTCTGCCACAGTCTGGTCTATGTTGCAGTGTGTTTGAACAAATCTCCATAGCTACGATCTGTTTCCTGTCTTTCTATGACAACACAGCTTGAAATGCTTAAGTATGAGCAATGGTCAGAGTCTGTGCAGGCTAGGGAAAGTGGTCCCACTGAGTCAAGGGGAAATTGTGCAGAAAACAGCTTTTCACTCTTAACTCTCATTCTTAAGTCTATATTAAAATATCTTACAGGGCATGGTGGTGTGCACCTTTAGTCCCAGCACTCTGGAGGCAGAGGCAGTCAGATCTCTCTGAATTTGAGGCTAGCCTGGTCTACATAGTGAGTTCCAGGCCAGTTGTACTACATAGTAAGATTAAAAAAAATTTATTATTTTATTTTATGTGTATGAGTGTATTGCCTGCATGTATGTGAGTGCCCCCATGTCGTTCTATGCTGCAGAGATCAGAAGAGGGCTTTGGATTCCCCTGGAACTGGAGTTAAGGATGGTTCATAGCTGCCATGTGGGTGCTGGGAATCGAACCTGAGTCTTCTGCAAGAGCGGTCAGTGCTCTTAACCGCTGAGCCATCTCTCTAGCCCCCATAGTGAGATCTTGTCTTAGAAAGAAAAAATATATTAACCTCCCCCCACAAAAGAACAGCTCTCTTGGCATATCATCACTACCCCACCACCCTCCATCCTTTGTAAGAAAAGGCTTTGTTTTTAATTTGCTGGTACTGAGGTTCAAACCTAGGGCCTCAGGTATGTTAGGGAAACACTTTTTCTCCCTTTTTAGTTTCTTAGACAGTCTCATGTAGTGGAGGCTGGCCTTGAGCTCTTGCTCTTTCAACCCCAGCCCCTTGAATGATCCCAGCACTTTGGAATCACTGGTTTAGGCAAGCATTCTCTACCCAAAGTCCCCAGGCCAGAAGGAGCTTAAGGTCCTATCTTGATTGATATCAGTCACAGTGAAGAGCAAAATTTTGCAAACATTTTGTGTTATTTTTACCAATTATGTAAATTCCTGTCCAACTGGGAGATCCCCTTGGCAAGAGGGAGGATGGGTAAAAGCTTTTGCTTCCCATTTTCACCCCAGGTGCCACTTTCGAGGCCACTGGGGGCAGAGAGAGGTTGGAGATTCCCATCTGAAGGCCTAGTAGCCTCAGAGGAGAAGGGCTAGGAACACCTCCTGGTGGCACAGGAGTCTTAACTGGGGGACTCCAGGGGGCATTTGGCAATGCTTGGTGGCTTTTGTGATTGTATCAGCTAGACAACTGTTCCCCTTCCCTTCATCTCTGCCTCCCTTTTTCCCTCTTTTTCTTGAGACAGGCTTTTGTCACAGTGCCCTGGCTGGCTTGGTACTGTGTAACCCAGGGTAGCCTTAAACATGACAGTCCTCCTGCCTCTACCGCCTAAGTGCTGGGTTTACAGATGTGAGCTGTCATGCCTGGCTAGAGATGTGAGTAAACATCTTGAAAGACACAGGACATCCCCCACAACAAGTTAACCTGGCTCTAAAGATTGATGAACCCTGACCCTGTGTGTTCTCTCTTCTCTTCTCCCACCCCCATAGGACCTCATAATGTAACCCAGGCTGACCTCAAACTTGTGATCCTCCTATCTCAGCCTTCCAAATCACACACATATATATTTTTGTCTTTTTGAAGCAGGGTCTCCCTGTAGCCCCAGCTGTCCTGGAACTCACTATGTAGACCAGACTGGCCTTGAACTCACAGAGATCTACCTGCCTCTGCCTCCCAAATGCTGGGACTACAGGCATGCGCCACCATGCCTGGCCCAAATATATCTTTTACTTCTAACAAAAATTGTCTACACTGGAGCTGTGGGGCTTAGCTTGGTGGTGTCTTGATTCAATTCCCACTACCACAAGGCAAAAATCTAAGGTGGAGTTCAAATTTATCCTGAAATCAGTTTACTCAGAGCCAGTCACTGTGGTATAGACCTGTAACCCTAGCACTTGGGAAACTGAGGGAACTATTGCCACAGTTTAAGACCAGCTAGATTGACAGACTGCTAGCCCAGTAAAAAAAAAAAAAAAAAAAAAAGAAAGAGATAACTAACTAACTAAATAAATAAATCAGGGGATGAAAAGATGGTTCAGGTTAAGAGTGCTGCTTTTACAGAGGGTATGAATATAGATAAGTATAGTTCCCAGCATCCACACTGGATGGCTCATAACCACCTGTAACTCCTCCAAGGATATTTCTGGCCTCCATGGGCACCTTTACTCATGTACACACACACACACACACACACACACACACACACACACACACACACACACTCCACACACACACACAATTAAAAATAATAAAATCTTAAAAAAAATCAGCTCTTCTAGAGAAGAGGACCTGAGTTTAGGTGCAGCTACATGATAGAGGCCATGTAGCCATGCAAAAGAAATGGTTTCTCAACCTTGTTTACATCATTTGTAAAATGACTACACAGAACTTGGTGCTCATTAATATCTGAAAGTTCCCAAACTCTCCCAAACCTATGCTTTTGGATATTCCTTTTTTTCTTTCATTCTCTCTTTTTATTTTATTATTTATTTGGGGGGTCAGAGTCTCCACAGCCCAGGCTGGCCTAGAACTCACTATGGAGCTCATGATAACTTTGAACTTTTGCTCCTCCTACCTCTACTTCCTGAGTCCCAAGATTATACATTTATGTGGTACTGAAGGTCTAACCTAGGACTCCCTGCATGACAGGCAAGCACTCTACCAGCTGAGGTATTGGGGATCAAGCCCAGGGCCTTATTCATGCTAGGCAAGTACTCTGTCATTAAGCCACCATTCTTCTTCTTCCCTTTTTCTTCTTTTTCCAGATTGTACTGTGTTGCCCAGGCTGATATCAAACTCCTGGGTCCAAGCCATTCCCCTGCCTCAAGCTTCTAGGTAGCTGGGACTACAGGCATGTTCTACCCACCCATCATGGGTGGGTCAATAGAAAAGGAAGTGACTCAGAAGTGCAATAGAGGAAGCTGAAAGATGACTCAGATTTTCCTAATTATAAAGGCATTTTGACATGGACCTTAATGTCAAACCAAGACTCATGACTGTTGGTGTCAGGACTCTCCTTTGTGTAGCTGAGTGAATACTCACATGGGCATTTTGAGTCACAGTAACTTGTCCCTGCCAAATTCCCTGATCAGTCTGCTGATGCACTGATGTTTGATCTCTCTCTCTCTCTCTCTCTCTCTCTCTCTCTCTCTCTCTCTCTCTCTCTCTCTCTCTCCCCTCCCTCTCTCTGAGACAGGGTTTCATGTAGCCCAAGTTGGCCTCAAAATCCATCCATTCCTTATGAAGCTGAAGATGACCTTGAACTCTTGATCTTCCTAAGAGCTTGATCCTCCCAAGAGCTGGGATTAAAATGGTGCAGGACCACACCCTGCTTTGATGTTTAAATTTCTGTTATCACAGTTTTGTCTGCATTTAAAAACACAAATATAGGCAGGCTGGAGAGCTGGCTCAGCAGTTAAGAGCACTGGATGCTCTTGCAGAAGACCTGGGTTTGGTTCCCAACACCCACATGACAGCTAACAACCATCTGTAACTCCAGTTCCAGAGGATCTGATACCTTCTTCTGGCCTCTGTGGGGCATTGTACATACATGGTATGTACTTATATACATGCAGGCAAAACACCAATACATATAAAATAAAAATATTTTAAAAAATATAGGGGCTGGGGACTGGAGAGATGGCTCAGCAGTTAGGAACATTGGTTGTTCCTGCAGAAGACCTGGGTTTGAATCCCAGCACCCAAATGGCAGCTAACAACTGTCCGTAATTCCAGTTCCACGGGATCCAACAGCCTCTTCTGACCTCCGGGGGCATTGCACAACATGGGTGCACTTTCCTACATGCAGGCAATACACACATACACATAAAATAAAAATAATATTAAAAAATAAATAAAAAGTGTTCAACCTATATGTTTTCTAGGGCTGGAGAGATGGCTCAGCGGTTAAGAATACTGACTGCTCTTGCAGAGGACCCAGGTTCAAATCCCAGCACCCACACAGCAGCTAGCAACCATAAGTAACTCCAGTTCAGGGGATCCAGTGCTCTCTTCTTGGCCTCCATGGGCACTGCACAATACAGAGGTACTTACATACATGCAGGTAAAACACTCATACACATAAAATGAAAAATAACTTTAAAAAATATATAAATAAATATAGGGTAAAATGGCTCAGGGGATAAGATCACTTGTCTCTAAGCCTGAAGATCAAGTTCAATCCCTAGGACTCACATTGTGGAGGGAGGGAACTCCTAAATGCTGTCCTATGACTTTCACATAGATGCGCATGTGCACACCCCCTCCACACAAAATAAAAGTGATTTTAAAAAATGGTGGGGGGGACTAGAGAGATGGCTCAGAGGTTAAGAGCACTGGCTGCTCTTGCAGAAGACCCGGGTTTCGTTCCCAGTACCCACACAGAGGCTAACAATCATCTGTAACTCCAGTTCCATGGGATCCAATCCTCTCTTCTGGTCTCTGCAGGTGCTGAATGCATGTATGCACATACATGCCTCCCCTAACCCAGAGACACATATACATAAATATAAATGAAAATTTAAAAATAAAGAATAATGCTTGTGTGATCACACCTGTCATCCCAGCATTTTGGAGACTGAGATGGGAGGATAATAAGTTCCAGGCCAGACTGAGCTACATGACAAGATTGTGTTTCAGAGAAACACACAAAAGAATGCTTGCTGAGTATGTGGTCCTAAGAGGGAATACATGAATAATTTGAGAAAAGTTGATGTGTTATGTAAATTCTATTTTTTTAGATCTTTTTGATCTAAATGTAACATTTAATAAAAGTTCATAGAGGCTAGAGATTTAGCTCAATTGGTAGAGTGTTTGCTAAGCATGCACAAAACCCTGGGCTATAAATACTAGCACTCAGGAGCTAGAGGCAAGTGGATCAGGAGTTCAAGGTCATCCTCTACTCCATAGTGAGTTCTAGGGAAGACTAGGATACATGAGACCCTGCCTCAAAAAAAGTCAATTTTTCTTCTTTTAGAATTATTAATACACTGGGTGTGGTGGTGCATGCTGTTAATCCGAGCATTTGGGATGCAGAGGCAGGAGGAGCTCTGTGAGATCAAGGCCAGCATGGTGTACATACCTAGGGTTACAGGGAGACCCTGTCTCAAAACACACGCACACACACACACACACACACACACACACACACACACACCCCAAAACAGAACACAAAAGCTAGTAAACAAAGGCATTGAAGGCATATGCTACCACACCCAGCTATTAATTATTTTGAGACATGGTCTAACTATGTAGCTCTGACTGGCCTGGAACTTCCTATATAGCCAGGCTGGCCTTGATCTCACAGAGATCTGCCTACCTCTACCTCTAAGTGCTGGGATTAAAAGCATGTAACCTCTGACCTGGAATTTGTAATGCTCTTGCCTCAGCCTCTTCAGCATATCCAAAGAGCATGGGGTACCACATCTGGCCCAGCTTTTTAATATTTATTTATTTATTCATTTATTTGTATTGCCTGAATGTAAGTGCACTCCTGTTGTGCAATGCCTATGAAGGCCAGGAGAGACCATCAGACCCCCTGGAACTGGAGTTACAGATGGTTGTTAGCGACCATGTGGTGCTGGGTCTTCTGCAAGAGCAGCCAGTGCTCTTAACCTCTGAGCCATCTCTCCAGCCCATAGCTTTGTTATTTGAGATAAGGTCTCTCACTGAACCTGAAACTCACTGGCTGACCAATGGGCCTCAGGGATCTGCCTGTCTCTAACCCTCTCCCCAATGTTGGGGGCTACATGTGCATACCATCATGCCTAGCTCTTTACATGAGTGCTAGGGATCCAAACTTAGGTCCTGCTTTTTTTTAAAAAAAATTTTATTTTTATTTTATGTGTATGTATGTATTGCCTGCATGTAGGTAAGTGCACTCATGTTGTGCAGGAGGACAGAAGAGGATGTCGGATCCCCTGGGACTGGAGTTATAGGCAGTTGTTAGTTGCCATGTGGGTGCTGGGATTTGAACCCCGGTCTTCTGCAAGAACAACCAGTGTTCTTAACCGCTAAGCCATCTCTCCAGCCCCCAGGTCCTGCTTTTAAGGCCATCTACTGAGCTATCTCCCAAGCTTACTTGCATGTCATATATATAGACAGAGTCTAGTTTTTTTTTTTTTTTTTTTTTTCGTATGAGAGAAAATGTCATATTTATGTTTCTGAGTCTGGCTTATTTCACTTAACGTGATTGTCAGTTCCATCCATTTTCCTGCACATGACATAAATTCATTTTTGTTATGACTGAATAAAAAAAATCCATGGTATATGTGTTGGATAGCTTTAGTGTCAACTTGACACACCTGGGTTGAGGGAGCCTCAATTGGGGAATTGCCTCTATTGGACTGGCCTGTGGCCATGTCTGAGGGGCATCTTCTTGATGAGTGATGTGGGAGGGCCCAGCCCATTGTGGGTAGTGCCAC